AGCAAGTCAAAATATTTAGAACATAGTTAGAAGTCATATTGGTTTTAGAAAGTGTCATTTGTAAGGTCTTTTCTAAAGTCTCTGAACTGTTCAGCCATGGGTAGTTGGCTAGTTTTATAGTGACAGACATATATTCCCTCCTATTGAGCAGGCCTTAAGCATAATCAGACAACTGTTGGTTATTCCTAATATAAAAGTGAATTATTGCACCATTTGAGCATATTGCTGGACCATTCATTGTTGTAGTTTATAAACTTTATGGCTGGTAAGACTATTGATTGCTTTTCTCCCTTGGAAGCTTGCATGGCACCTTTCCACATTATCAGAACTAGTCCTCCGGGAAGGGGCTTCTGAAAGGCCAGGTCCAGCTTAAGTCCTTCAAGTCCTTTGTCTGAAGTGTTTGGTGTCTTCATCAATAGCATCTGACCTTCGAGTTCTGGGATGCCACCAAGGGCAGTGGCAATAGCCTAGCTTGTTTTGAGTATAGGGTTCTGGTTAGATAGGGGATGAGGGGAAGCATTATTACTCTATATTTCACTCCATTTAAAGTGAACACATACACATATTGTATACATGTAATGTAACATATTGTGTTGTGTTCCACAAAAATAAGTTTTTACAGAAAATTGTAATAGCCTGGAAATAATACAAATGTCTATTAGGAGAGAAATGGATAAACACATTGTGGTATAACCATAAAATGGGAAACTTCAGCAACAAAAACTCAAAAATATTGATGTGAATCTAAAAAATATGCTAGATGAGATGAGACAAACATTAGAGTACATGACTTATAACTTTCAAAACAAAATACTCTAATTTATGTAGACAGTAGCCATAATTCCCATCTTGGATCTGTGATGCAGGGGTGTGACAATTTGTTGATAGTTATTAAACTATACACTTTGAATTGCATTTTACTGCATATAAACAATTTATTTTTAAAAGCTGACTTCAACAAAAAGATAAAAGAAACATGGGCAGAGTTGTATGTGTGGCAGAGGCATTGGGAAAAGCATGAAAGATTGTAGTCCTATAAACAAACGGAGAATAGATAATGAGGTCATTGCTGCAGGCATGCTAAGTTTTAGATGTCCGATGATGTCCACTTAAGGCATAGAAAAGATGATTTACAACATCCTCAAATCAAAAGAACAATCCATAATGGAAGTGCAGACTTGGGGATTGTCCACATGCAGAAAATACGTAAACTTAGGATGTGATGAAATTATCTAAGGGAAAATGAAGGTATGAAGAGAATGGATCCCCAAAGAGAATCCTGAAGGCGCTAATATAATATACACAGAGAGGTGCTTAAAGAAAGATTAATTCTGGCCTCGGGTATGGCTGTACATATTCACAATCCTACCACTTGAGACTGAGACAGGAGACTCTGGAATTTGAGGCTGCCATGAGCTACATAGTGAGTTCAAGAGTAGCCTGGGCTGTATAGTGAGACAGGAAGGAAAGGATGAAGGGAGGATACATTCAAGCCAGGGATACTGAGGGAAATTGAGTATCAATCCAAGAGACTATCTACACTGCCAAATAATAATTCTGACAAGTAAATCAGGATCTGAAACCTCTATCAAGTTTAGTCATATAGGTCACTAAATATCGGTTAGAATTCCTAGGCCAATGGTGACTTAGTTTTTCTTTTTTTACTTGCTTTTGGTATGGGAGATGGGAGTATGATTAAATACTGGTAAGAATGAACCTACAGAGAACTGTGAGGAGGTGATTTAAGGATGAATTTCTTGCTATGTAGGGCCAGGACAGGTTGGGAACTGTAGACAGAAGAAGAGATTAACCTTCCATAAGAAGAGGTATTTTCTTCCATCTTATCAGGGCCAATATTAGAAATAGAAACAGATAAGGATGTAGATGGGTGAATGTATTTGATAACAGAAAGTAGAGGCTACAGACAAGATGTTCTGAGGTTCCTTCTGAATCTGAAATATTATGGTCTTAGCTTTCTTAGGGTACCCAGCAGGTTTAAAATGGACACAGAGAAAACCACATCATTTCTTCTGGTAAATGCCGATGAATAGAATTTATTTTGCACATTGTCATTTAACTCCACTCAATTAATGGTCTTTTTATTGATCTGGTTCTGTGACAGGAATGATCAATATTTTACATGGAATGGGTTTAAGGCTTCTTGCTTTGGGACATCATACACCTTTTATGGTGAGAGATTTTATTTATTTATTGGAAACGTCACATTTTCAGTGTAGAAAGGCGTATGAGCTAGTGGATTGACGTGGATTGTGTGTGCTTGCTTCCAGCATCTTGGCATGGCCCACAACTACAGGAACAGCAGTCAGGCTGTACAGGCTGTCCGGGACGCAGGCTATGAAATATCTCTGGGTTTAATGCCAAAGTCAATAGGACCCTTAACCTTTGTGTTCACGGGAACTGGCAACGTATCCAAGGTAGTCCCTCCTGCCCTCTCTGTCAAGCAATTTGAAATGCTCAACATTTCGTGGGCATTTCAAACACAATGAATGACCATTCAATATGGAGTATTTTTGTTGTTATTACATTTTTACTGTAGCATAGAACAGCAATAGCACAAGTATTTTCTTTCCTTTTACCATCTATTAGAGCAGTGGTTCTCAACCTGTAAATCATGACCCCTTTGGGAATTGGACAACATTTTCACAGGGTTCACATATCAGATATGCTGAATTTCAGATATTTATATTACAATTCATAACAGTAGCAAAATATAGTTGTGAAGTAACAATGAAAATAATTCTGTGGTGGTGGGGGATCACTAAAACACGAGGAACTGTATTAAAGGGTCACAGCACTAAGAAGGTTGAGGACCACTGTATTAGAGATTTGAAGTGTCCCTGCATCCTTCACCTTCCTCCCCCTCATCCTTCCTTCCCTGTTTCCTTCCTTTGATAACTTCTTGTTAATGCTATAAAGCACTGCCCTTCAGATGACTGGTTGTTTCTTCAGTAGCTGCTTTGAATCTTGCTATAGGGTTTCTATTGCTGTCACAATGAGGCATTTTCTTAATTAGTGTTGATGGTGGGAGTGGAGTAGTCCATTGTGAATAGACTTGAGCAGACCATTCCTGGACTTGAGGTCCTGAGTTCTATAAGAAAGCAGGCTAAGCAAGCCAGGTGAAGCCACTGAGTAAGTAACACCCCTCCATGGCCTCTGCATCAGCTTCTGTCTCCAGTATTTGGTCCTGTTTGTGTTCCTGTCCTGACAATCTTCAGTGATGAGCAGTGCTGTGGAAGTGTAGGCAAAATAAACCCTTTCCTCCCTGTGACCAAAAGCAAGTTGGGGAGAAAGGGGTTTATTTGGCTTACACATCCACATCACTATTCCTCATTAGAGAAAATCAAGACAGGAACTCAAATACGGCAGGAACCTGGAGTCGGGAGCTGATGCAGAGACCGTGGAGGGGAGCCGCTTATTAGCTGGCTTCCCCTGACTTGCTCAACTTTCTTTCTTATAGAACCCAGGACAACCAGCCCAGGGATGAAAACACCCACCAAGGGCTGAGTCTTCCCCCATCAGGCACTAATTCAAAAATGCCTTACAGCTGGATCTTAAGGAGGACAGTAATGTGTCAGGTTGGCATAAGAACAGCCAGCACACTAAAGAAGATTAAGATTGGTATTAATGCTTCCTTTTTGAGTGGCATTGTGGCTGTATTTGTAGTCTCCCAGAGAAACCTGCAATTGAAAAATAGGTCTGTTGTGCAGAATTTTTACAAACAGAACCTCTGTTAGTGCTAAATTGTAAAGCATGCACCTGAACTTTTCCTTCTGTGATAGTGATTCCAAAATTAAGTAGGCAAATCGTGTTACACCCTCCTTTCTAAACTCTTGTTGCTGTAATGAAGAACTAGTCCCTTCTGATGCAACTGAAACCAAAGTTGGCTTGTTGGCTGCCAGCATGACACCCCTCTGTCCTTCTGTGTTGTGATCCTGGTTATAGGACAGGGCAAGGGAAACTACACAATTGTGAATCCTTTCAGGAAATCTGTTGACCATGTCCCTGCTGAGGTTTGATTCTTTTGTTCATGCACTATTTGCAGGGAGCCCAAGAAGTCTTCAATGAACTACCTTGTGAGTATGTGGAACCCCATGAGTTAAAAGAAGTTTCAAAAACAGGAGGTAAGGGTGAGGGAGGGCCTTACCTTTTACTGTTTGTAATAGTCTTTGCGTTAATATTCTATCACCATAAATTGTCATCATTTGTCACTGTATTGATTTCCTCTTTCTTTGTAAGACCTCAGGAAAGTGTATGGGACGGTGTTAAGTCGCCATCATCATCTTGTCAGGAAAACAGATGGTGTGTATGATCCTGTAGAATATGAGAAATATCCTGAGCGCTACATAAGTCGTTTTAATACAGATGTGAGTATTTGGCTTTGGTTTGGTTGCTATGACACCACAGTTAAGCTGTTTTCAGAGAGGGAAATTGTGAATGTGCACCTTGATTCTTCAGGTCCTGGTGTAGACTGACTGTGAGTCCTTTGATTCTATAGTGTTGGATTAGTAGTTGGCTCCTACTAATACTTGGGGTTGATTGAAGTGGTCTTTGCTTAGTGGTTTTGGTGGCTTCTGAGGGGATGTTCATTGCTTCACAATCTCTCTGTTTCACAATGCATATGTTCATTAGTTTTAAACCAGTGTCTTGATAGCCTTGTTTTCTGTGATAGTCTATAACCAGTTAATGCTGTTGGCAAAAATGAAATGTCTCTGAGGCTGGATCTTAACATAAATGTGTCTTAACATCTTAAAAATTGGCTTTTTTTTTCCAGTACTAAGAAAAAAACCTGGAGTTTTTTCACATCTAAGCAAGTGCTCTACCACTGAGCATCCCCAAAGGCTTATCCTTTCTGTTGCCAAAAGTTTCTGTTGTAACTGTAACCTCAGCTATCATCTTAGTTGACTTTAAAATGAAAGAACTGAGGTTTGAAAGAAAAGATGTTATTAAGTTATTAGTTTACCTTTTTTTTTTCAGAGCAGGCTTGTCACAAGCATTTAGAAAACCAGACTTAGGTAAAGAACGAGGTCTGGAGACACATGTATGGTCTTACTATAGCCTGTCCTTAGTTTATCATTTTGAAGGCTTGAAGTACAAAGCAAGATCAGAGTTTTTCATAGGTTCCCAATGTCTGCACCACATCATGGTAGGAGGTCTTGTGTATCTTATCCATGTACTCTCTTTCCCTTTTCTAACTAAACCATGAAGATTAATCATGGGTGCTCCACTCTTCCGTAATCTAATTTAATCGCTTTCCAAATGCCCCTCCTCTTAATACCACAGTTGGGTTGCATTGAGCTTATACTCTCTAAATACTATGAACATAAGACTCTGTTGGTTAATCTTTGCAGGAGTTCAAGGGACAACTGTATTTCAACATTATGTCCCTGGCCCCATAAAAATGTATGTCCTCACATTCAATACGTGCGTATTTCATCCCCAGTAGTTTCAAAGTCTTAAGTCATATTAAATTAACTTCAAATACCAGAGTCTCACTTGGAACTCAAAGTCCAGAATCTTTCTCTGAAAAGCCATGTAAAATAAAAACCAACCTGGATATTGTCCAAAATATGACTTATAAAGTATGTCCCCTGTGGTGGGAAAGCAGAGGCTTCATCTTCCAACAAATATAATCAGTCATGTAACAGCTCTCCTCAGAACAAGCTAACCAACTAGAAACCAAACACAACTCAAGATGCATACACGCATTATGAAAAGAAGTGCTTTAAATAATTTTATGTGTGCTTTAGATTCTGGTAGGAAATTTTGATATTTTAAGGTACATTACAAAGTTCTTCCCTTCTATGTGGGAATGCTTTGAGATAATTAAGGCACAAAAATATATGTAAAAACAATTTAGGTTGAAAATAATTTTAAATTTAGTATACTTCATCTCTTCTTTTAAAAAATGTTTATTTTATATTTTATGGAGCAATAAACACCTTCATCACATGAGCTAAGAGTGATGGCTTATTTGCCTTCCCGAGCTTTGGTCTCCCTCAGGTAGAACTCCAGAGCCTTTCCTCCAAGCACAGAGCCATCTATCTATTCTACTTCACTGGCCTGGACCTGAGGTTACACAGGCAGGACGCTTGCCCTGCTGGAGCTGATCCTCCAGAAGACTGCTGTTTTTGGCAATCTTTTTCCTTTCATCATATTTCTTTTGACTTTTCTTTGATCATTATTTCTTGTTTCATATTTTGTTCCCTTGTTGTGGCCACAGGTAGTGCACAGTGAGACTCATACCAATGTTGGTACAGTGTACTGTCAGTAAGTGCAGCACAATTCTTCAACAGGGTCTTGTGGGCCAACTTGTTATTGAATGCATTGGAAACAACATTAATGATCCTTGTTTTCTGAGTACAACACTCAGAGCCCCTAAGATTGGATGTAGGGCATGGCATGATACTTCTCACTGCCTCTTCAAACTTGGACTGTGTGTATACAACCAGGGCCAATCTTAGTATTGGCTGCAGAATGTTCCAGGTTATACTTGCACTTCTTGTGGTAGGGCTTCCTCTTACTTGCTGTCTTTTGGTACCTGTGCTAGTTGTCCCAAGAGATGCCTATTGCTCAGTGCAGGATGGAAAGCACCATCACTTCTTTTCTAGTTTACATACTTTGCTAAGTTTTCCCTTTTATCCAACCAACCCCTCCCATGAACTGTGATTTGAGCATATATATGGCCTCTTTTTCATATCTCTCTTTGTCTCTGTCTCTATATATGACCATGGGTATTTAAAGGTATATATGCATATATACATATATAAATTGTGTGTTTGGGGGGGGTAAATATGTAACTACAACCTGCTCAGTCTATTTAATGTTACTTGTATATATATGATTTCTAAACTTACCATTCTGCTAGACAATGAGCTATAGGAAATAAAGGGTACTATATAAAGAGTGGGAGATAGTCTTCCTACTGATGAGTTGCCCCTTAATTGTTCTTTTGCCCCTAATTTTAATCCTGAACCATATATATTAGTGGTTAGATGCAGGTGCTCCTGAAACTGAGGGTGAACCACTTGCCACAAGTCCATGTGTACATATGTAAGCAGTTCCCCAGTGAGGTTATCCAATTAATCCTCAAAAGCATTCTTTTGAGGACTGGTATCCTCATCTGGCATGTAAGAGCAATAGAGTCCAGAGAAGTTAAGTATGATTAGAGTTATAGTATATGGTAATTGGACTGGAAATAAGAGTTCTGGGTCACTTGATTATTCACTATTTTATTTTTCCTAGCTATGCAATGTATTGTAGAACAAAGTATTAATATATTTATTACATTCATGTCTTATCATGGAATAATTCTACAGTGAAAGGTGGGTGAATATTACCTTTTCCTTAGAAGATGGCAGGTGACCTGAACAACAAAATGGTCCATAGAAGCACTACTGATGATCTATCATGGAGTTTGCCCTAATACAGTGTTCTTTTAATGCATGGTATTAAAATAAACTACATCCTGTTTTGTTGAACATGGGACTTGCTTCACAGATTGCACCCTATACAACATGTTTAATTAATGGAATCTACTGGGAGCAAAACACCCCTCGCCTGTTAACTCGCCAGGATGCTAAAAGTCTCCTGGCTCCAGTGAAGTCTACAGGTGTTCCTATTGAAGGATGCCCTGAATTGCCACACAAGTAAGGAAATGAAAATGATTTTTTTCCTGCAGCACCATTATTAGGGGACCAAAGAATATAGTGTTCCTGCATATGAGAAATATAGTGGTAGTCTGATTTGACCTCCTGGAAGCATTTTACAGTTACCCATCCCCCCACCCTCCCGAGACTGACTTCTGACTCATTTGGTTCCAAAGCTCACTCCTCAGAAATTTCTTTATAATTAATCTCATTCTGCTCTAGTTTGTTACTTTGTTCTGAGAAATTGACAGTCATCTATTTTCCTGTGTTTGTGGTTGTTCTCTCTCCTACTGGAGTTTATTCTCCTGTAAGATGAGGAGGAGGGGTGTTTTAGTCTTGACCTTCAGTGCTTGGTATAAAATAGACATTTAATTAGTTCTTAAATATTGAATGAATGAATTAATAAATACTTGTGAGACATCTTATCTACCAGGGATTCTGCTAAAGTTCAGAGAAGCATAGTTGGGCTATTTGCTGCTCTGAAGCAATTGTCACTGGAACACTAGGAACAACAAACAACAGGAGATTAGAAGTAGGCACACTGGTAACAGAACACAATGTTTGGACCATTTATGTGCACAAGGCTGATAAGCACAGCTCTGCAATGAGAGTGAGGCAAATGCTATTACTTGTAGCAAGTAAGGAGAGCACTTGGGGTAATCCCCAAAAGTGGTAAATAAGGCAAGAGACTTTTGTTGGGGACAAGCCTCTATATTTGTATAGGGATCTCCCCTTACAACGTATAGAGGTGGATACACTCCTGGAATCTCTCAGTTCAAAGTAATGCTTTTCTATGCATTACATATTTGGAAAGTGAGGAATAGGAACCCCATTGGCAGAGCATTTGCTATTGCAACAGCAAACTTTATCTCACTTAAAAGTTCTGGCCAGGGTATGTTACTATTTTTGTTCCTGTGAGTTTCTTTGAAGGGGCTGTTAGGCACAAAAAACAATGTGGAAAGCCTGTTAATGATTTTTAAAGATAAAGCAGTATCCCTGTCCCAAACTTAGTAATTGTTTTTAATGTATCTGATGAGTGGCTAACTCTGTAACTCTAAGCTCAGAAAGAGAGGAGGGGGGGAGGGAATGTGAGACTGTTACTTGGTAAGTTCAGAACCACTAAAGTTCAATGAAATACTTGGCAAGGCTATCTCTAGTATATGTGGGCATGTAGTAACTGCAGACAGGACAGGAACATTGTGATTAGTTTCTTTTCAAAAGACTTTGACTGCCAATCATAATTCTAGAGATTTCCACACAATTACATGGAAACTTATGTAGCATTGTCAACTCTTCCCTGTCCATTGGGAATGGTTTCTAAGCCCTAGTAGAGAGCAATATCTATTGACATTCAAGTTCCTCATATACGGTATACTTCACATCAGATGTGTGATGTTTATGATGCCTAGTAAGTACATCAGTACAGTCAGTTGGGCCTGTTGGTGTTGGCCTGTAATATAGCTACATGTGACTGTGAAAAAGGAAGATTACAAGTGTAAAGGCTCTCTGGGAAAAAGGGACTTCATGGCTGAAATGGGCAACTTAGTGACACCCTAGTTCAAAATAAAAAGGAGAAAATAGTAGGTTAGAGAGCTTAAGGTTCTATGTTCAGTGCTCACCAATGGAAAAAGGAAGAGAGAGAGAAAGAAAGAAAAAAATGAGTATAATCAGTTAAATTGTATACATGTATGAAATAGTTAAAATAAAACCTATTTGTACAGTGGGCATATGCTAGTAAAATTATTACTCAAGAAGGCATACAAATGATTGTGCTGTATTGTTTTAGTAATGATAATAAGAGAAATTTTGCGTGAGTTGAATATCGATGCAATATTTTTTCAAGTGCTTTCAGCTCTCAGCTGAATCCAAGGATGTGGGAGCCTGAAGTGGAGAGGCAGTTGACTACCTAGAATAATCATTTACAGATGATGAACCAGGGCACCTTATTCTGGCTGCTATCAAATGTTTCTGTAGGGAAGGTATTCTCCCTACCCCCTTTTTCTGCTTCCTTCACTTCCTTTTTTCCATTATTCTCATGGAAAATAAAGAACCCTATGTCTTCAAACAGCCCAGTGTTCTGAAGACTGAACTGTAGGACAAAGATTCTAAGTGTCTAGAAAATATTTGCATCCGCAGTGCAGTTTGTTTCAAGCACTTTTATTCACTGTTAGTCTTCCTGAAGGCCCGAGAATTGCTCACGCTCATCTGGGTGTTGATGTCATTTTTAGGCTTGTGGCAATATGTGACATTTCTGCAGACACAGGAGGGTCTATAGACTTTATGACTGAGTGCACTACGATAGAGCGACCCTTTTGCATGTATGATGCAGACCAGCATATTATTCACGACAGGTGAGTTTGTCAGAGCTGCTGTTTCCTTGTCTCAGTGTGCTAGTTTAAAGTACTTGGCATTTCTACTTCTTTATGAAGATGTGAAAAT